AGGCCAACCTATATATGCATACTAACACACACACACTTATATTTATATATTTATATTTGTATTTAAATTAAGTATAAAAAGTTATTTTTATGGAGTGTATTATTTATTAGAATAAGGGAGTGTTTGCGATTGCTTAATTATTAGAAGTGATTTTTTTAAGAGATTATTGGAAAAATGATTTGTAGTAAAAGTAGGTAGTGTTTGAAAATAAAAGTGATTTTAATTAAATGGTAAAAGTTGAAGTGTTTGATAAAAAAATGATTTTTGATGGAATATTTTGTTAAAGTACAAGACTACCCCTTGCATACATATAATATTACCGAAACACTCTAATGCATCAGACCGTGAGGCATGAAATGAGACGAGACAAGGAGAGTAGAAATAGATGCTTCTAGTGCTTCCCCTTCCCGGTATGGTGGATGCTTCCTGGTACGCCGGTGCTTGAGAGAAAATTGACAATTGATGAGTGATGCATGACGATTGAAGTTTGTGACCAAAATTTTCTTCAAAAATGGAAGAACATGAGTTTTTATTTTCGGACTTCTTTTCTCCAGGGATGTCATTGGAACATAGATTCAAGTTACATGTCTTTGGGAGAGGAAAATAAAGATCTGGATGGAGTGGGGTATGAAGTTGGGACAAACTTCACCGGCGGTTGTGGTCTATGGGGAGTTGGGGACGAAGGGTAGTCTAGGGACTAAACAGTATAATTAGGAATATAACTATCGTAAAAGTTGGAATTATTTACCAAAAACCCTAGAAGCAGATGAAAACATGTACAACCCAACTTCCAGCTTAAAGTTGCTTAAATTAAGTAGAAGTTTCAGTTTGAAAATAAGTACTTTTTTTAAGCATTGGCAAACACCGCTTAGATTTGGATGTAAACCATGGCCTTGTTTGGTAAATGGTTGTTAGCTGTTGTTGTTAGCTGGTTGTGTCAGTTGTTTCCTAATAGCTGGTTGTGTTAGCTGTTTTGACTGGCTGATTATGTTAGTTGATTATAAACAACTGATTGGTAAAATTAGTTGTTTCGAAATAGCTGATAGAATGTAAAAAGACATAAAAAGACATAATAATACTCATTGTATTTTATTATTGCTAAGAATAAAAACTTTATAAGTACTGTTACTTCAACGATATAAATCATTTTTATAATTGGAAATTTTAAAATTTGTTGAATAAAATCTATTTTAATATCTACTCATCATACTACAAAAAAATTATAGTATTTAATTTTATAATCACTCAATCATCTAAACCAGAAACATCAAATTAATTCAAGATAGAGAGCATAACTAATAATATAAAATATTAGTTAAGCATATATTATTTGTCAAGATAGTACTACATATTTGATTAAACAAGTTTTGTTTAAAATAATTAGAGTAATTATTAGTATATATTACTTAAATGATTAATTTAAAAAATGCTAACTCAAAACAATGAAAGCAACTGGTAAGCAAAATAATTGGGTTGACTAAGCTAAAAAAACGAACAAAACCACAATGAGAATAAATTGGAGCTATATGCAGTCACTTTGGAACTTCGAGCTATACCCTTATGGGAATAAATTGAACCAGTCGAATGAAGAAGTTGCTCCCCTTAGCTTCTTCAACCATCCATTTTTTCAGTTTTTCAAACTCAACAAGCTAATTTTAAAAGTCATTTACCAAACATTATTATTAGCTTTTTTTGACTAATCAAACCACTGAAATGGGTCAAACAAGCTAAAAGCATAAGCCATTTGCCAAACATACCCCATGTGTTATATATTAAGTCATTAAGGACATTAAGATTAAAAGTTTATTTCTCAAGATTTGAGGTGCATAAATATTTACACAAGCGGCAGAATTTACGTATTATTAGGGTGTTTAGCGATTAATTTGGGGGATAAACGTTATAGCGTGTTAAAATGATCTAGCTCTTCTAATTTTTAATTGCACTGAGCTAATTCAACTTCTTCTTTAACAGAATTTGTAAATCGACTTCAGGTCTATCCATACTTTCATATAGGCTAAACTCTGGCTGAAAGTTAATAAAATATTAATAGAGGGTGATATGTTAATCTTATTTCTGATCTATGTTTGGCATTTGATCCAAGCATAACATGTTTGACCACTCAAGTAGGTGAAAAACAGGAGGTGAAATGCTTATAAAGTGAAATACTTATATTTTAGATTTTATAACCTCGATCATAGTGAATTCAAAATGCATAAAGCACTAATTAAGTGAACCAAACTTATTAACGCTATATTTGGCACAACAAATTGAAACTGAAGACTAATGTCTGGATTAGGAGCTATTGTCTAAATCATAGACTATTGTCTAGAACTGACTTTGACATGTTGGATTTGAACTAGTAGCTGAATGAAGTAGACCCGTTTGGCAAAAAGAGCTGAAAAAGTGTCCGATTAATATGAAATTACCAGAAAGGGCATATAATTGTCAATGCAACAAAGTAGTTATAATAATGATATATTTGAACAATTATTACGATTTTAGTATTTATATTTATAATGTTTATAATTTTTACAACGAATTAAGTACGAGAGATGAAAGCAATGCAAAACAAAGCTAGCAAATGAATATAAGATGAAAAGCAATGCAATCAGCGATGAACTCCACAATGTCTGATTGGAAAGGATAGGAAAGGAACAATCATAACCAATATAGAGAAAATTTGAAGCACTAAGGATGGACCAGAGGACGACAATTTGAGATCGTTTCTCATATCCTGACTTTGATTCTTTATTGTTAATTGCTTTAGCAATTTTAATTTATATATAATCGGAGTTGTTAAAGAAAGAAGAGCACCCTAGAGTGTTACAATTCGTCCGGCGAAAAAGAAGCGTTTGTGCAGCTTCCTCAATCATAGGTGCAGCTTCCTCAGTCACAAGGCCTTTAAGAATATATAATTTCCTCAATAATGGGCTTCTCTGTTGTTGTAACCCTAGAAGTGGAGGCTATGTCTGTATTGATATGTGCTGCTAATATGATTTTACCTTTTTTTACCCGTCATTTTATTCCTAATCGCATCTTGATTAGTGTTAAGATAGGCCGTACACGAGCGAAATTCTAAGTCCAGAATTTCCCTGTGTAACAATTAGCAACTTGCTTAGGGGGTCATTTCTCCTTGTGTAAAGCTAATGCATGTATATGCTCAGTTGGCCTCTTAGCACATTTACCAACCGAATGCCCCAAATGGAGACATTTGAGCAATATTCAGGTCTATATTCCTATATGATTGGCTGCATGAAGCCACTATTACCACACTGTATATCCACACTTTAAAAGGCATGTCCTTTGTTAGGTCTAACTCAACCAAAACCCTAGCTAATGAGGGCCTAGCTGTATAGTAGCAGCATCAATCTTCATAGGTTTACCAGTGAGTCCTGGAATGTCAAACATTACTTTTCAGTCTTGCAAATGGATTGGTAGTTCTTCAAAACCAAGCCAAACTGGAACCACATGGTATTCCACATTTGGCTTGAAGTCCGGGGTCCATTTTGTAACTCGCATAACACACCCATGGATCATCCATGTTTGTTTGTTCCAGCAGCGTATATAATCCTCATCCAAATCGAAATTAATCCTCATCCAAATCAAAAAATAATCCTCATCCAGCAGTTGTAAAGATAGTTAATAGTGTAGAAAAAGAAAAAGAAAAAGTGTAATGTATACAAGAGAAGATAAAAAGTTAAACATAAGGGTAAATAAGTATTTTTAAAGGAAACACTTATCAAAAAATGAAAATGTAACAAACTTTTAAATACATCCCAAAAAAGAAAGCGTAACAAACTTTATATACAAAGGGAATATAAAATTTCCCCCTGAAAATATTTAATGGATACACCATTGCTTAGGGGTGAGCATGGGACAGTACGGGACGGTTATCTCAAAAAACTTGTCACGTCCCAATGTACGGTTCTTTTAAAAATAAAAAAACGGTACCGTCCCAAATATATATAGAACCTGTCCCGTTCCGTACCAATTTTTGGTATGGTTCGGTACAATTCTTCAGTACTATTCGATTCCTAAATAGTTAACTCCTACAATATAAAAATACTTTAAAATCAATCATAATTGAAGATTAAAATTGAAGAGAAGAGACTCCAAGATTAAAATCAATCATAACTGAAGTACAAAACTACGGAGCAATAGTCAAAACTACAATAAAGAAAGGTAACAATCAACCAAAAATCTAAAGTGATAGTCAAACTGAAAAAACAAAAGGTATGTCTTCACATGACAAATATAATATACTACTCCATATAATATATAATATAATATTTGAGTAAAGCTCGGTTCTTTATAATGTCGTACGGTATAATATAATATAATATTTTATGTAGCCATTTTTTTGGGACGATATGGAACGGTTCAGGATAGTTCGGTTCAATACGGTTTGGTACGGTTCTCACTCAAGAATCGGTACCGTACCATATCATTAAAAAAGTTCAGTATGGTACGGTACAGTATTATTTTTTTCCGGTTTCGTTTGGTTCTGGTACGGTTCTCAGTATGTACGGAACGGGAAATCCCAGATCCGTACTACTCGTCTTCTTTCTCAAGCCATCATCATCCTTCTCCTTATAACCGTCTGTTGCTAAACTCATCATCGTCAGCCAAGACCGATATAGCCCGCCACATTATTTGAAATGAAAAATGAATATATTTAATTGAAATATGTAGCTTACAAACCAAAACAAGATATAGCTCTGAAACTCGGTGAAGATGTGCTTCTTGGCAGTTGGTCCTTGTTATGACTCTCTAGGTCAGCATACACACGAATCTATAAAGCTTATGCCTTGCTTTAGAGCAAGACAGGGTGCCCAACTTGTAGCGACCGTCCAATAAAAAAAAAATCAATGACTAGAGATTTTGAAAATCCACATCTCAAGAAGCCCTTCTTCCCATTTGCCCATTGGTTGCATAATTCAATCTCGGACCTCACCCACACAGTCACAACACAAAAACTACCCACACAAGCCAATTTAGGCTAGATATTCAGCTTTCTTTCATTGTATGACGGTGTGAGTGCAAATTTTGTATACACATTTAGAAATTTATCATAAGTTGTACTAAAACTAAATAAACTAATATAACAAATACTACACGTAACTGGTACATGAAATTAGATGCACGTTAACAGTATATTAAGCTCACCACATAAATAATAAAATTAATAAAATCTATGCAATAGCATTCAAAAATGTGAAAGCTAAAATAGAACTTTATTTGGGAAGGGCATTTCACAATACATTAATGAGACATGCTTCTTTTTTATTTGACTCCTCTTCCTCCCATTGTCCACACAAAACAAAAACAGAAAAGCCAAAAAGAAAAAACACAGCCCTTGGGAAAATAAAAAGGTTCCTTCAAATTAGAGGGAGGTTGGGAGGGAAGGTGGAAGGAACTGGACGGCATTTCCATTGGTACTATCGCATATCCAGAACATGCCCGGGCAGGGTTTCTTGCTTCCCTTTGTGGTTGCACACAGCGTCACCTTGTCTAGAACCGCGTTCACCCCGTTCTCGTCATTTCGGCATTCTACGAGCGCCTCATTTAACCCGGCTTTCTTCACGGCTTTGTTTATTGCCTGCCCCGGATAGTATGTTCCATTTGGCTTTATTCCTGTTTTTCACATATACAAGGAACCTCACTTTACTCAATTATATTAAGGGTCTGTTTGCAACTGCTTTAAAAAAAGCACTTCTCAGCTTTTGGCTTTAAAAAAGCACTTATTTTCCCAAACACTACAACTTTTATTTTTCTCGTCTTCCGCGTCAAAAGTGCTTTTACCTTTTCTATTACACAAAAAGCACTTATTTTACCAAACACTACCCACTTTTACTTTTCAAAATCAGTTTTTTCCCAAACACTATCAACTTTTATTTAATCACTTCTCCCTATTTCATTAAAAAAAGCGCATTTTAAAAGCAGAAGCTGTTGCAAACAGACCCTAAGGCTCATTCTTCACATGAAATGAATAGTGTCATGTCTTTTATACTATGTATTGGAGCAGATTGGGCAGCTTTATTGTAAATTTATGAACAATTTTTTATAAAATACATACTTTTTAATTCGCCAATTGAGTCTTGTAATAATCAAACTAGCTATCTAAGCCTTCTAAGGTAGTTCTTTGTCTAACTGAATTAGCCGAAGTCAATGTCAAGGATCGATCATTTTAATTATCTTTCAAATTAATTTATATTTATTTTAATAATAAAAATATATGAAAAAGAATTTTTTTCATCATTCCGCAAACTTAGTCAATTCAGCTGTTTCCATCGGAATTCACTTAGGTTTAGAGGATTCAGCCAATTTGAGTATTATCAAATAGACTCTTAGTATTTAATTACAGCACAAATACACCTCAACAACTCACTTGTAGTACATGGAATAATTCAACTTGAAACGAAATTTTCTCGTCAAATCTTAATTGTTCTATTTAAGTATGGAGTGATGCGCCAATGTCTCGTAATCTATGTATTTCATATTATCTAAGTTGAGTCAAGTTTGGTCTGATAAGATTCGGACCTTTTGAGACTGACATGTAATCTATTTAAGTCAAGTCAAATCTAATTTGATATAGAAATCAATTTTGAAAACATAAGGACCTGTTTACTAACAGAGATATTTTCCAATTTTCCAGAAAACTGGAAAACTGGAAAACAGAAAACAGGAAATGTGTTTACCAAAGAAATTACAGGAAAACTGGAGAAAGGAAAAAAGAAAAATGCGTTTACTAAATCGTTTTCCAAAACGGAAAAAATGAGACATGTTTCTCTTTTCTTTAATGATTTGGAGAAATGACTTTTACTAGTTTTTCAAATTTGGAAAACGCATATGCTACAGTGTCGCTGCAATGAATTTGCATACTTACACCTGGTGGTGGGTCCGGTCCCGCTCCGATGTCGATTCCATTCTGGTACTTCCATCCTCGTACCTTACCCCTTACCCCTACCCTACCCACCCAACCCCACCCCGCATACCCATTTTTCCCTATAATGACCCTACTCCACCCCCTACCACCCCGATCCATCCTACCCTACCGCCACCCCCCCACCACCTCGACCCCACCCCGACCCACCCTACCCCCACCCGTATATTACCCCTTACCCCTTACCACATGCCCCTACCTTGGTCCCACCCCACCACCATCCTACCCCCACCCTTCCACCATCCGACCACCATCCTACCCCCCACCCCTACCCTTCCCCTATCTCGGCCCCACCCATATCCCGGGCCCACCCTATCGCCATCCTATCCCACTACCCCTACCTTACCCCAACCCTACCCACTATTCCCACCCTTACCGCCATCCTACCCCCCACCCCCTACCCCTTCCCTACCTCAGCCCCACCCTTGTCCCAGCCCCACCCTACCGCCATCCTATCCCAACTCCATACCCTACATCTACCTTACCCCAACCCACTACCCCACCCTTACCCCTAACCACGACCCTAACCCACCAACTACCCCCACCCAACCCCCAACCCCTAGACCTTACCACCCCACCCCGACCATACCCCTTACCCCACCCATAACTTCCCTAACCCGACCCCTACGAGTAGGTATGGGTGGGTATGAAGGGTTGTTGGGGAGTATGGGTAGAGTGTAAGATTGTGATAAGGGTAGGGGTCAAGGGTGTGGAATTGGAGAACTGGGTGAAAAAATTGATGAACATGTTTTCAGATTTGAAAATGGAAAACTAAAAAATAGAAACATAAAATTGGAGATAGAAAAACTGAAAAATAAAAACAGAAAATTGGAGATAGAAAAACAGAAGTAGAAAACAGGAAAATATCTCTGTTAGTAAACAGGCCCTAAAAGTTTTTTTTTACTCCAGGAAGGGTCTGGGGGAGGGGGGCTGGGGGGCCTGGAGTAATCAGGGCTAAAACTCAGCCCATTGAGTTTCGAACCCTTATGTGCTTAGCGGGTTTCGAACTCGAGACCTCTCACTAGGCATAGTAACCTCATAACCAACTAAGCTGGAATGTTTGGTATTTTGAAAACATAAGTAATAGAGTAACTAGAGGCCTGCTAGGTGATCATGTTTTTCGACTTGTCAGCCTTATTAGTCAATTTTTTCGATCAGACACGTAACTTTTGATTTCACACCCTGAATTATATAAGAATCAAAATACGTAATCTTGGAGTTACTTCTCTCGTTGAATCGGGTGAAGCTACTGTAGAGAATAATTTTAGCTACTTTCTCATTATTGTTCTCTTTATTTTCTTAATAAAATTTATTTTATACTACCTCCGTCCCAATTTAGTTAGCCAATCTTGACTTTTCCGGTCAAAGGTGGTAAACTTTGACCAATTATTTTAACTAATATATTTATGAAAATAATAATAATTTTATACTTTTATAATAGTATTTTGAACAAAGAACATTTTCATATAATTTTTATATTATTAATATTTTCTCTATATAGATATATAATCAGTCAAAGTTAGATACCATTGACTTGAAAAATCAAGTTTGGCTAAGTAAATTGCGACGGAGGGAGTATACATTTTCCATAATACATCAATTCAGCCAGAACTTTCATAATTTTCAACGGATTCATCGGATTCGAAATTCTTCTCTGTTTGGCTTCCGCATTTGTTCAATTGTGGTGTTACCAAACATGCTCTAAGTTAGTTATATATACTTGGCGTGTAAAATAAACAAATAACAGCACGATTTGTGTTAATTAGACTAGTAATTACCTGCGTCGGCAAAAATTTTGAGGAGATTAATTTGCTTTTGGGCTTTAAGGGCGGCGGCGAAATAATCATGCTGATTTAGAACAGATTCAGAACAGGTTCCATACTCCAGCCATTCTTCTTTCCATAGCTTCTTACTGTCCCTGCTTGGGCAGCTCAGGGATGGCCAATTCCTTTCCAAACTTGGAACCAAATCTGCAATCTATGGGCCGCCCCACATAATTGACTTGTTATTTTTGCTTAATAGTGTTATTAAACGGCTCAATTTACTCCCTTTTTATAAACCAGTAAAAATGTTTCTTTTCATTCACTGATTATTGCTAATTTCTGAGTTTCAAAGTGTCTACAATACCAGTTGTAGGCAAATCAAACAAATGTATGAACATATTGGACTTGTTAATGTGATCAAAACAGTTACAAGATATATATATGCAGAAATTTCTTTCAAAAAAAATATATATGCAGAAATTTATACCTATCCTATAAATACGCAAATATGTATTTGTTCATAACTCACAATTTTTCTGTTTGAAAATTGAGTACAATTAAGCGAAATGATATGAACCAAATACTTACAAAAAGAGAAACATGATACCAAATACTTGTATCGGGACAATCCAAAATAGAAAGTAAGCGAGTAAAATGGGAGGGAGCGGACCTTAGACGGCTCGAATTTCGATTTAGAAGTACAATTAGTAGGTATCACCCCATCCTGAGCATAAAAAGGTTGGAACTCAGAAATGATGAAATCGTTCAAGACAGGCTTCCCTTTCTTGGGGAGGCAACACCCACCTGCTTTGCTGTCACATTTGGTAGCTGGCCACTAATTCAGCAAAACAACATATATGCATTAGTTTAAAGTCCAGCAAGAAGTGCATGATATGATTTCCATACATAAATTAAGGTTTCATACTTAGTCTAAACTAATTTAACATGATCTCTTTAGTCTTAATGTAACACCCGTCCCCGTAGAGTTTGAGGTAGTTACTCCTGAACATCATCCAGATCTCTAGTACTGTTCTCACAAACTAACGCAAGCTTTAAATTAATCTCAAGCATTGCACTTTAAGTATGAACTAGTATGATCTTTTCAGTTTCATATTGTGTGGATTTTATATTATGTAATGCAAATTTGGTCTAAGTTATTGTGACATATTCGAACATGGTCTGATTTGATAAATGATAATCTTATCTAAAGTGGATTAAGACAGATAAATAGATTCAATAGTGCATTTAAGTCCTGGGATTCAACTAAAAAAATTACATATGTTTGGAAATATTAATACTGCGATAAAAAGTTCTAAAATAAAAAAGAGGAATAGTGTAAATCCTTAATTAGATAGGATTGGGTAGTACGTTGTTATCGTATTACGTACTTGGAAAATGATGAAGAAGTAATCAGGAGAGGTCTCTGTCCCGGAGGCAAGTGAAGAAAGAGCCAGAAGAAGAAGAAGAGAGAGTTGGATGAAGTGCTGCTTCATGTTGTGAAGAAGATAGCTTAGCTTAGCTGGAATACCAATCACCCCATCATATACCCCATATATATACATACTTTTAGGCCTCATTTTCCATATGCCTCCCAGCTATTGAGCATTTTCGCCCACATTATTGGGCTCTTGGTTAATGGTTTCCTCATGCCTTTTTCAAATCACTCTAAATCAAATTGTTTTAAGTTTGGTTTAGTATCCTCCATTTTTGTCAATTGACTCTTTTACTGAATAGTGTGAATACCAAACTTTAACCCTTTTACTGAATACCAAACTTTTAACTTCAAGCACTGATTTAATCAAATTTATTAACGTCAAAGTAACCTTTCTAATTGAATTTTGTCGAAAAAGATCAACCGTCTTTGCCATTTCTTATATACCCTATAATTTTTCTTTTATTTAATTAATAAAATATATTTGGAATATAATATGGAGTAATCTTTTTCATTGAATGTTTGGTTTACACATTTTTGTTTACACTTTTGACACACTTTTTCTGTGTACACAGACAAAGTTGTATGTGTGTATACATACAATTCATAATGAAATACAAAAATTGTTTGTATATACTTCCTTCGTTGTTTTTAGTTGCAACATTCCTTTTCTCACGTCTGCCAACGCACAACTTTGGTCATCATTAGATTTAATTATACATTCGTAAAAAATAATTAAAAATCAGATTATGAAATTTAGTAATGAGATGAATTCAACAATATTTTTGAAAAATAATACTCCCTCCGTCCCCTTTTAAATGTCCCATTTTACCATATTGGGATGCCCCTATTTAATTGTCACATACCTTATTTGGTAAAGTTTGTGTGAGTGTGTGACTCAAAATCATTCTTACTTTATTCTTACTTTATCAATTAATATCAACCACACAAACCCCCTTTTCTTAAACCTCGTATCATCCTCTTCCGGGACATTTAAAAGGGGACGGAGGGAGTAATTCACATACAATAGTAAATAAAATGTGATTAAAGTAGAACACATGAATAGTATATAAATTGCAATGTTGCAACTAATATGATACCGATAATAGTATATAATTGTGTCTATGTAGATAGATAAGGTGTGTACATGCACTTATCTATGTACATGCACCATATTTGTGGAGTAGATTAATCCATTCCACCATTTCAATCAACATTTATCAAACGGTATTACTTCCTCCGTTCCTTTTTAATTGGAACAGTCAACATGTCACGTTTGCCAACGCACAAGTTGGACCATTAATATCTTTCATTCCTTATTAGTAAAAAAATTAAAAAAATCATATTTTGAAAATATAGAATGAGAAGAATTTAACAATATTTTTTAAAAATTTAATTTATAATGCATTAATTAATAAAATAAGTCAAAGTATAATACGTGAATAGTGCAAAAAGTTGAATGTTGGAATTAAAAAAGAATATTACGGAGTATATATAGAACGCCAACTTTGAATCTTTGTCAAATCCCACGGGTGATTTCGACCTTCACCAAAACCCAATCATAGATCCGTAATAACTATAGACAGCTGTTGTAGTCCACGGGATGTGTAACAATAATTTGATATAACAATAATAATGATAAAACCATTACACACAAATTACGGTTTTTGTTAGGAATTGTCCATGTACACCTTGGAGGGTGTACAAAGTGTACACCAAAAGGGTGTATACCTCACAATAATTATATATGTACATGGGTGTAAGTTTGATCACGAAGAAATGGAGTGCTTACTAAAAATGTGATTTTAATCAAATTGATTAAGTAAGAAAACATAACAATGATTAAGGATAATATAAAAATTACTAAAAGCCCATTCGATGACGCTAAAATTGGATGAATCGGTTGATTCTGCCAAAAATTTATGAAATTCTGGTTGAAGTGACTGTATTGGCTTATTTTGCTGATTTATAAAAAAATTAAAATATTGTTTATTAATAAAATAAAGAAAAAATCATATGAAAAATAGTTAAAATGATCATTTACAGTAACATCACTCAATATAGTCACAAAATAACTACAACCTTACTTTTTCTTATTAATACACATTTCAGCACACGAAATAAAAAATTACATGTTTTGTGAGAAAATGGCTGATAAGCCAAAAACGGGGTAACTAAACGGGTTCTAAATTTGGTATGCGATAATCATAGTGAGATAGAGCAAAAAGAAAAGTTAGTCAAAATATACCTTGTCCCAATTTGATTGACAAAATGTCTTATTTTGATTGTCTCGACTTTCACTTTTAATTGTTATTATGAAAAGTTTAATAAAATGACAAGTTTTATCATTACTTTTACTTTTTTGTAGTTACTTAAATGTCCCAACTTTATTGGACAAAATAGTAAAGCCCAACTTTATTTGTTATTTTCTTTAATTGTTGTGTCTTTAATTGTATTTAATTGAGATTGAGAAAGTAATTTTTATTGTACACTTTGAATTGTATAATAATCAATATAAGTAAAATTTGAATTACATTTATGCTTAAAATGGTTGAAGACTATTATTTTAGCTATATGCCTATATCGTCTATGTATTTATTTATTTTATTAGTACAATATATTTTAAACATAATCTTTTTATAACTAAGCAATTCAATCGCTTCAAAACAAACTTTTAAAACGTAAGCAATTCACAGGTTTACTCGATTGAACCAATATTAGTGTTACCAAATTGGCTCATCTAACAACATTATAACTATGAATAGGGGTTGGTACCCCTGATTTTTGTCAACACACTTAATGCATAGGATGTTATACATTGTTATTAGAAAGTGAAACCTATTTTTCCATTTGGCTGCTTTACCCTTACCTCCCGTTAGGTTTTAACTTCCGTTAGCTCAGTCTTTGAGCCGCACATCTCCTTCGTTGTTGGGGAGACAACCTGTGCCTTGAACGAGGAAAAAACAGCCCGAGAATTTGATTCGATCTTTCATAATCAACTCAGTTAATAATATTAAATTTCTCTTTATTGATTGTGCTTGTACCACACCCTTTGCTTTGCTCCTAGCGGTCGGTTCGTTTTTTTCGCTCAGATTTGCTGCCGCACAGGATATTCTCCCAACCGCCCATTGGAAATTCAAGGTTTTACGTATAGCTGTAAATAATACGCGCCTCAGCTGAACACATTTGAGCTTTGTTTTCATCCCATAGTCGTGTAAGTTTCTCATTTTGTTTGGTTTGCACTTAATTGCATTTGACTTGTTTGCCTAGTTTATCTATGTGTGTGCAAGTTCAACGGCTTGAGTTCCCTATCCCCACTGATTCTTTGATTTCTGATTCGTATTATTAACGTAATTACATTACTGGGGCAGTTAATTGGTTGTTTGAAGGTGTCTTTCATTTGAATCAAACTAATGAACTCTTTGAGCTAAATGGACTATGGAGAACACTTTTTGTCTTTGTAGTTAAATTGTGTTTTTCAGCCCTCAAATTTAAGCAATAGTTTATATTTTCCAAGCATATTTTTATTTCCCCCACTTGTGTTGTCCTCCAGGTCTAAAACAGAGCATGATAAAAGCCTATTGTCTTTAAGAAAATAGATTATTAAAAACTAGAAATTGTTTCCCTTTACTGAAATAAATATATTTTGAAATTGAATTATATTTTCTATCCCAATGGAAAATATATTTCACATTGTTATATTAAAAAGTTTTAAGAGTCTCTTTTTAAAATGTTTAAAAAACTCTCGTAACAATTTTGCATATAACACTTTTTTTTACAAAAGACAACATTATTTTAATATTAGACAAACACTCTCACGCCTTGCGCGAGTAATCGCTAGTAATAATATAGAGTAATAATTATAGTAGCTTCAACCACTTTTTTGAAAAACGTGAAAACGAGACTTGACAGAATTAAACTAACTTCAGCTAAACTTTTTAGGAATGAAATATATTAATAATCAAACTTGTGCTTTGAAAATTGTGAAAATGACTTTAATGTAATTAGAAAGTAGTGTAATCACTACATCCTAATCAAAGTATTAGTCACCAAAGTTTGACCCTTGTAATCAAGAAAATGGGGATTTTGCTTCGTTGGGCTGGGCTACTTCTTTGTCAAAGTTTTAGCCGGGACTCGTTGGGGAAGATGACCGGAGTGTATCGACTGTCGTGATTCAAGTGCGGGATGCTTCATTTATCATTACTTTTAAGCTAGTAAGGAAGGAGGTGCAACCATGCAGTGAGCCAGTGAGTAGCAAAAACAGACCAAAACAGGCAACGGGAAAAGACGACAAGAAGAAGAAAGACAAAGTAAAAGGAAAAAACAGTAGTAGATCTCTAATTTAGATACTTAAGGGTGTAATTGATAAAAATTAAAGTATAGAAGTCCAATTAACTTTTCGTATATAGTAAAAAAGACTTATTTGGCATTCCCCCCTAATATTTACATCAATATATTTATAATTAACATGTCATTTTATCAAAATTCAATACCAAATTCTTCAGGAAAAAAGTTTTAACAATTACTATCAAATTCTAACATTTTATATTTATTTTTTAGTTTTATCAAAAACAAAAATTCATTTATTTATTGACACCAATAAGGGGGATTTTAAATACTAACCCTCTTTTGCTAAACACTGCCCACAATTAAAATTAATTAATTAAATATAAATATAATCCCTATTATATCCTTTAGTTTGTCCAAATCGGCTCATTGTGGAAGTTGGTTGGTGTTGCAGAAGATACTACTGACCAGAGCTTTGTTTATGCGGCGGAAAAAGGAGTTTTGGAGAAAGATGATGATTGAGGCTAATTTTTTGCTGCACGAGATGTTGCTGATTAGCCGATTGCTGGTCTTTGCTGTGAGAAGGAGAAGGAGATGAGATTTTCATGTCTGTTGATATGTCCGTTCGATGTTAAGTAGGATACGCCATCACTATTTCAGTTAAAAGCTCCAAATAAACCATTGTCCTGTTGCCATTTCTACTCGTTCGCCAATTAAGAAAAAGAGGTTCAATCGGTCGAGGAAGATGAGACTGCCAGTTCATTGGAGAGGCGAACCAGAGCCCATTGTTGAGAATTGAGATGGTGATGTTGCTGATCCGAGCTTCGCAAAGAAGATGTCCAGGGGCGCAGACGCGCAGTGAATGTAGTGAATGTTCAGGAGAAGATTGTCTCTCAAAACTCTGTAAGTTTCGGTCATGGCAGCTGCCATC